CGGAAGGAAGGTTGGGCAATCTACTTCCGTAGGGATACTGCCTCGGAAACCCAAGGAGGGGTCGCTATGAGTCCGGGCCGACTCGATGGCAAATAACAACAACAACAACATAGGATATATATAGGATATATATTAGCCCTATAGGATAGAGTAGAACTGCCCCTTAGAATTATCAAGGCTGTAATCTTTACAGGAGCAGGTTGTCAGGTTTTTTCGACCACCAAGCCACTTGGGTTCGAACCACTGACCTTTTGGTTAGCAGCCGAGCACTGAACCATTGTGCCACCAGAGCTCCTCTTTTATCAGCAAGAACACCCACAAAATAATGCTGTTCATTGTCTTTGCTCTGGAAAATAGCAACACCTCCCCTCTCCCCCTTACCAAGCTCTTAATTTTTGGATTAACAATCTTTGTGACCTTTAGTATATTTTAAAGCATTTTTTCCTTAAAGCCTAACTTGTAGTTCCATTAAAAACCTTTGGGTTTGATGAAATCAAATCTACTTTTCTTTGTACTGAATCTGCTACACTGGGTAGATTTTTGTGTGGGGTGCTGCCGTGAGAGGTATGAAACAGTCACTTGTGTGATTTTATGTGTCTGGGAACCAAATAACACACCTGGGGACAGGCCCTGGTTTTTTTTCCTAAATCGCTTTAAACGTTTTGGTTACCTAGTGCTGCTCTGACAGGAATCTACCACAAATGGGATGCTTGAACAAACAGGAGTTTATTCTCTTACAGTTTGGAAGCTTTAAGTCCAAAGGCAAAGTGCCAGGCTCTAGGGGCTGGGTGGAAAGCCCCTCAACCTTGAGCTTCAGTTCTGCCTCCTGCTCCCAGTCAGTTGGAGCTAGAGGCTTTTCTCTTCACTCAGACAGCTACTGGCTGTTGAGACTGACAAGCCCAGGGGTTGGCAAGTAAAAAGGCACAGCTCTGATGTTACCAAACCACACGGCAGGCCATTAATTCAAGTCCACTGAAAGTCCCAAGGTCGGGAGAGCATGGCAGGCTGCTGAACAACAATGTGGCTACAGGCAGGGTCCAAGTGTGCCATAAGCTAGAGACTGTCCCCCAAGGCTTTTCCTTATATACAGGAAGTAGACCACATCCCTAAGGCAGATACTCAGCTTCTCCCTGTAGATTCCACCATGAAGTTGATTACCAGTCTCATCATGGGGAATACTACATCCAGCTGCCCAGCCACTCAACCAGGCCCAGCCAAGTTGACACATAGGCTTAACCACCACAAACATGTTCTCTGTTGTAGGTCGGTTTGGCCAGACAACTCCACCACTCGTTGATTTTCTCAAGGACATTTTACGAAGATACCCAGAAGGAGGGCAGATTCTTAAGGTAGGATATCTGTATGGACGTGTGTGAGCTTACTATGACAAACACAGGCTGTTGTCAGATTACTTAGAAGTTCTGTTTAGTGTTTACACTTTTAACATTTAGTCTCAATTTGAATAGCTGTGTTTACTTATGTGTATGTGCTGGATGGGGTGGGGTGGGGGATGCAGTCAGCATAAATATGCAAAATTTCTCTTATGTCGTAAGCAAGCATGGTGTCTCCGGGGATGTTTTATGTGAAATATTTTACAGGGAACTTTGCAAAACAGCTGAGCACAGAAACAAACAAAATAAGACACGGCCCACAATCAAGGGCCTGTTTGAGTCCATGGGTTTAGAGAGCTGTTTATTTTGGGAGAGTTTATTTAATAAGATCATTTAAGTATTTATTTTATTTCTACTTATATATTCTTTTAGTCTGACTATAATTCATTAACCAAAAAATAAAAAGTCAAAAAGTAGAGCATGAAAGAAAGCAGTGATGGAACATATTGCTACAAATTTGATTGTGTATTTTAGCTTAGTAAGAAAACCAAAAAGCCCAACTCACTGCCGTCGAGTTGGACCCAACTCATAGCGACCCCCCTTGGGTTTCTGAGGCAGTATCACTACAGAAGTAGATTGCCCAATCTTCCTTCCAAGGAGCGGCTGGGGGGTTTGAACTGCCAGCCTCTGTCCTTAATTAATTGTTAAATTAGATGCAGTCTTATGCATTTTCATTTCACTGACTTTATTTAGTGTTTATGTGCCTTCAATATTTTAGCCCTCATTGTATCTTCTAGCTTCGATGGTGACTTTTTGTAGTGGGCAGCTGGGGCTGTTTAATGTACATTGCCTTGCTCAGATAGGCAGGCATTGTTTGAGGGTTGTTGCATTTTCAGTGATTGGAAGAGTGATGACATGTGGAGTCGTTTCCTTACCTCCTTCAGAATAGGCACCAATGGTACTTAGATAGTTAATTTGGAAATGATTTTTATATTCACTTGTTAGGGAAGTAAGGCACTCTGGTGGCACAGTGCCTAAGGCACTTGACTGCTAACCAGAAGGTTGGCAGTTCAAACCTCCCAGCTGTTCTGCAGGATGAAGATGGGGCAATGTACTTCCATAAAGATTTACTGCTTTGGAGACCCAGTGGGGTCACTGCGAGTTGGGGTCGACTTGATGGCAGTGGGGTTAGTATTAGGAAAGCAAAGATTGAAAGAGTGTGGGTCGTGAGTTGTTGTGGGGTAAAGAGAGGGGAATGGAAGGCAGTTAAAATGGAGATTCAGTGGGTAGTAAAAGGAGTAGGGTCTAATCACTGTAAGCACAAGTGAGGAGGATGCCTGGCTGAGAAACAAGGTAGCAGGATGAACAAGAGCTTACCGTCCTAAGAGTTGGCCAAAAACTGATGTGCAATCCTTTCACTTGCCTTCTTGTATGTTTGTTTCGTAGGCTCAGTATATCTTTGTTCCTTGGATGTTTTTATAGAATTTTACTATTTAAGATTTCATAGAAACCTTAGCAGTCACCTAGACCTAGGCTGCCACCTTTTGTGATGTTTGCTCAAACTGAGGTCTAGCGATACTTTTCTAAGATCACATGCAAAGTGGCTGATTCATCGAGTTCACTTGAAAGTTCGTGAAAGTTCGTGAAAGTTCCCCTGAGGATTACAGCTTACAGGAGAAGTATCCGATCCAGTCTTTTTCTGTTTTGTTCAACCCAAGCTTGATAGTAGGAGCAGCCTCAAACTTGGGGTTCACAGTCCCGTTTTCTCCTCTGCTCCCTAAAATAAACCTAAATCACAAATAGGTATTTAAATGAAAACAAGATCCCAGCTTGAAAGTGCCACCATTTTGTAAATTTATGTATGTGTTTTTTATAGCCTAGAAACCCCTCTAGGGCAGTTCTCATCTGTCACAAGGGAGGTCACTGTGAGTCAGAAGTGGATTCAGTGGCACCTAACAACAACAGTGTATTCCTGTTTATTATTTATGATTGTTTTAAGGATGTTACGATTTACAGTTGAGTGACGGATCACTGCTTTTGCCTGCTCATCTTTCTTCCATCTCCCCCTTTGGGCATCCTTGCCCCACTCTCAATTCCTGTAATTTGAGGAAGGGTCTATGGCTTGGCCTGGCTGGTGGGACTGCAGAGACCCCTGGCTATAGGCAGTGATTGGCAGTGGGCATGTGATCCAGGCCAAGCTGGTTAGAACCAATGGGTGTCGACCTTGGAATTTTTGCTGTAATGATTGGGGAAAAATTGCTCTGTTTCTGCTGGAATTGCTGGCTAAGATGTCACGAGAGCTGTAGGCCACATGACCACTATGTGAGGAAAGCCGGTTTAAGGTTGAAGTTCTCCTGAATGAAGCTGAGCTTAAGGCTAGAGCAGGGTACACATTCCTCATTTGAGCCCCTGGATCCATGTAAATTACTGTTGTGTTTTGCTACCTGTTTCTAGCTTTTGTGTTTTAATCTACCACCACCACCCACTGCCATCTAGTCGGTTCTGACTCATAGTGACTCCCGTTGGGTTTCCAAGGCTGTAAATCCTTGCAGATTAGATCGCCTCATCTTCCTCCTGTGGAGCTGCTGGTGGGTTTGAACCACTGACCTTCTGGTTAGCAGCCAAATGCCTTACCCAGTGTGCCACCAGAGTTCCTTTTGTGTTATAATAGCCTCGTGTAAGTAAGAGTGCTAATGTCTAAGGATTCTCTTAGACTGGATAGGGCAGAAAGTGGCTCAAAAAATCCTTTGAGAAATAGGCAGTAGTGTGAATAGGAGGAACGCAGCTGATAAGGAGGTTGTAGAAGGACGAAGTTCACATGTTCATGGTCAGGTTGAGCAGCTGGTGGGATAAGACTCCCCACCCCTAGGAATACACTGGATGAAGGGAAAGCCTTACTTGATTCAAAACCAGCCCTTCATTTCCATACTGTACCCTCGGTCTCCTTACTTCATTTCCGTGGACTTGTGTCCCCTCTGCCCTCTGGGAAAGGCTTGGCTGTTGTCATGCACTAGTACCTCTGTAAGCTCTCCAGTTTTTGCTTACCTCCATCCCCAATTTGGTGGTCCAGTTCAGTGTTTGGAGGAAACAAGTCATTTTCTCCGAAGGTTAGAAGTTCATGGCTTAATAATTCAGGGTGAGTTCTTACATTTCTAAAGACATATCCACTTAAAACATAACCCTTCGATTTGATTTGGTCTAAGTTGATGCTCACCCAGGAAACTATTATCTATTGGCTTTTGCTTATTTTAGACAAGACTCAGAATATACTAGGTAATATCTCTGGAGTTTATTTCCAGTTTTGATGATCATGGGGTTGACTCTAAGGGTTTAGTCTTAACTGCAGAGTCAGGAGCTACCTTGAAATTGACCAGACACTGAACCGTTTTTGGTAGGTGTCCAGAAGCAATGGGATATCGGGATTGGGAGTTTCTTTGTAGCTGCTGACTGCTGTAAATCTTGCCGTTTTCCCTTTCTCTCCTAAACTCATGAGGCTGGCCACTCATCCACCCATCCACTCACCCACCATCCACCAAACAAGTAATAATACTGCCTTCTTTATGAAAGGAACTCTGGTGACAATTATGGGAGATACAGAGATGAATGAGTCAGTGCTGACCTTCAAGAAGCTTTCTGCTTACTACAGAAGAAAGACATGTTCATATCTCAAGTTCTCAAGAATGCAGCAAGCCTAGAGATTGATAGCATTTGGTTTCTTTTTCTTTCCTTTTTTTTTTTTTTCCTCAGAGAGAGTAGGCTTACTTAGCCTGGGGATAGACAAAGCTCTACTTTTGGTAACTGTTCATGAATGAGGTACCTGCCCCACATGCTAGCAGATTGCCCTGACAGAACAATGTGTGCCCTTTGGGAAGTGGGGTAATGGCTTTTGAACATGGGCTTTGTAAGTAAGAGACAGAGTTGTAAACAAAGACTAAGAGATAGCAAATTAAAAGGGGATTTTCAGTGTGTGATAGCAATCATTGTCAGTGGTGTGCTCAGCAGATCTTAAAGTAGGCTTCCTTTCCTGAAGTATGTTTACTTGAAAAATATTGGAAGTAAACACAAAGATGGGTAGTAGGTTACCATATTATTAAATGTAATTGTTTTTTGTGGTTAGGAACTAATTCAGAATGCAGAAGATGCAGGGGCCACTGAAGTTAAATTTTTATATGATGAAACTCAATATGGCACGGAGACCCTTTGGTCAAAAGATATGGAGCCATATCAGGGTAAGAATCAATAATTAGGTGGAAGTTTCATTTTATGTACTCATATGATGTTTAGTGCTGTGTGAGACTCTTGACAATGAACAGTCCAATTGTCATTGTAGTTTTCTTCTTGTATGTTTAGGTCTCCTTCAGATGTTTGTCTTTACTTTGAATGGGTAGGTGATTAGGCCGCTTGGTGTTTTTAGAAAACAAAGAATGGAAAACTCAAAACACAATAACGAGCAATGTAATATGTATCTGTGTGTGTGTGTGTGTGTGTGTGTATTCATATATACATATGTATATTTGTGGCAAAAATATATTTTAGTGTTTTTTGCATGACAGTTCCATGGCATTGATTATATTTTCAGCTGTTCTTATCATTTTGAGTCATGCCTCATCAGCAAATGAAGTCCCAAAAGTTATATTCCATCCACGTCATTAAGGTCAACTCAACTTTGAGGAGATAGCTCTTCTTTAGTGGTATTTTGACTGCCTTTCAACCTGAGGGGCTCATCTTCTGGCACTGTATGGGACAGTGTCTCAGAGCTGTTCGTAGAGTTTTCCAGTAATATATCAGGCAGTGTTTCACTACTGTTCATAAGGTTTTTACTGGCCAATTCTTTGAGATGTGGATGGCCCTTCCTTCCTTTTGAGTCTGTCTAACTCTGGAAGCTCCACTGAAGCATATCCCCCCTGGGTGACCCTGCTGGTATTTGAAATACTGGTGGCATAGCCACCAGCCTCATAGCAACACACAAGCCACCACAGTGTGACAAACTGACAGAGGAGTGGTGGTTCAAATATGTTTAGAAACATATTTTATAAAGTGTAGCATGTGATTAATTTATTTCTTTGCCTTGAATGTCTGAGTGCTGCTCTAACACTCAATTTTTCCTTTCTGGAATTTTGGCTAATAATGCTGTTTTCTTTTTCTGCTTTTTTTTTTTTTAAACATTAATTTATTTGTGTTTTCATTTGTGTTGTGACACCTGTCAGAATTAGAATGCAGAACACACTCACCTCAGTCATTTCTTTCCATCCTCCCATCAGCTAAGCCATTTTTGCATAGAGGAAATCTTGATAGGACTGAATACTTGGACCTAATGCTTTCTGAACACCTGCCTGTGCATTTTGAACACCCAGGGTCAGCGCTGTATGCGTACAACAATGCCGTTTTCACCCCAGAGGACTGGGATGGCATTCAAGAAATAGCCAGAAGCAGGAAAAAGGACGATCCCTTGAAGGTCGGAAGATTTGGGATTGGGTTTAATTCTGTCTATCATATAACAGGTACAGTATTTGGCTTTTCATTCTGCCATTGAAATATGTTTTTGACCACACTCTGTCATTTGTTTGGTGAACTTCAGCAATGATACGATTTTCAAGGTATCTTCCCCAAATTCTTTTGTCTGTGGTAAGAAGTATATCAATGAAATAGTGTGTCATGAGTCTTCTGAAATTACTATGGTGAGTCCTCTGATGCATTGCATCATCGTGAGATGCCAGGAGTTCACCTCATCCCGATCCAGTGAGAGCACTGTAACGTAGTCAGTCATTTGATGTTATGTTTAAATACAGCTTTTAAAATACCTAGTCTAGGTAGTTTCGATAAAAAATCTTACAAGAGTCAGACACACTTACTTCCTCAGATTTCTTGTATGTATTTGTAAATATCAGGAGGTTAAAGGGGAAGGTGTGATAATGTAATGATAGGAAATAACTGACCAAGTAAAATCTCTGAAGTAGCTCTGCTTTCTCTACATTTTCTGCTTGTAAAACTTCTGCTTTTAGAATTAGGAGTGTTTTAAAGATGATCTTGAAATCACATTCAGCATCTAGAAGGAGTATGGTTTCTGGATCACACAGTTGCAATAGGAAACTACTCTTTGTGTAGACATCTCTAAGAGTATGTAGCTCTTCTTGCAAAATCAAAGCTCCTAGTACTTAATATAAGGAGCTCTGGTGGCGTAGGGTCAGCAGTTCAAACCCACCAGCTGCTCCATAGGAGGAGGATGGGGCAATCTACGTCTGTAAAGATTTACAGCCTCAGAAACCCAACAGATGTTGCTATGAGTCAGAATCGACTCGATGGCAGTGAGTTTGGTTTGGTTTGAGTGGTATATTCTTTTAAAAACAATTTTGTTATAGAATTAGCCCTTGTTCTGGTTTAGTTTCTAATGGTTTCTTGCAGGAGGAGGGACAGAGGAGGCAGGACTATAGCTATAGCTGATGGTAGAATCTGCCATCCTCTCAAGAGCATAAGAGGGCAGCGATAGCAGTTTTTCTCAGGCAACCGGACTGTTCTAGCATGGCACTAAGCAGAGGGACCCTGACTATAGCTCAGTTTCGTAAGCCTACTGCATTTACAGATTTCATACTCTACTCGTCCCCTCTTTGCAAGTCCCCCTCTCAGATGACAGGTAGTGGGTTTTAGACTACGTGGCACAGGTGTGAGTTGCACAGTGTGGAGACTACTGTGCAAGAATGAATAGTGTTAGAGTGGCCAGCTGAGTGCCCCCAGCTGCAGCACATGTGGTTTGTCCTCCCTTTGAGGGTATGAGCACATTATGAGAGACACTGTAAACTGGGGTGCTGTTGTCTGGTTTGAGGGTTGTTGAAGGTTTTAGGAGCTCCTGACATCATTCCAGGCACGGGGTGTGTGAACAGTGTGCAATGGACATAGATATGAGAGTCCCACAGACTGCATTGTCAATAACTTGAGGCAGGACTGGAGAGTAGCATTTCCTCCTTAAAGTTCTTGTGAACTACCATCAGGAGGTGGTGATTATGAAATGGGCATGCACTTGACAGACCTTAAAGACTGAAGTCATTGGAATTGCATTTTACCTAAGGTTTAGGTATTAAACTTAACATGAGCTAACCTGTGTCCACATTGCCTTTGGAAAGCCTGGAGAGAGGCACCAAGGAAAAACCCAACTCACTGCCATCACGTCAGTTCCAACTCATAGCGACCCTTGGGTTTCTGAGGTGGTATTTCTGTGAAAGTGGATTGTCTAGTCTTCCTTCTGGTAGGTAGGCACAATGGGGAAGAATTTCCCCTCAATCATTGTGGCCAACACACCTCGTTTTTCTGCCAGTTTGAATTACCACTCTGTCCTTGGTTAGAGAATAGATGAAGCAGGTAGTATCTGTTTGAGGATGGCGTACAAAAAGTCTCTATCTTCAAGCACTTTAATTGGATTCTGCATGGTGGATGCCCCCACCCTGAGAGGCAGAGGAGGTCAGACTTACCTGTCCCACTTCAGTGTCACCAAGGGGACCTCTTACCTATCCCACTTCAGCGTCACCCCAGGATATATGCTTACAGACTAACTCAGTGAGTGCTGTCTTTGGCGTTGTAAATTTCCCTCCCCTCTTCCTCCAGAGAGCCTCTTGGGGAATTAGTTATCTTGAGCATATGATTCAAGTCTGCTCTCTTAATTGAGTTCATATGGCTGTGAGGACTGCGTGCAAATTTCCACATACTCTACATCTTTTCATTGTTTCATGAGAGTTTGAACATGTGTCCTAGGTTTTCACAATAATCATGGGAAGTCTATGTGCCTGGCACTTCCTGCAGAGTTTAAACAAAAGAGAAGTGCTTATTGGGCTGGAGGGGGCAGAGGGGCAAAGGCAGAGGAAAGCCTTGCAAACAGGACTGAGTGTTCATGTGGGCTTGTGAGGTGGCTTTGTTTCTGTAGTCATTAACAAAAAGACAAATGTGGCTCCAAGGTGCTTGGGGATAGAATAGTGGACCTTTGTTGTTGTTATTTGCCATTGAGTTGGACTCAACTCATAGTGACCCCTCCTTGGGTTTCCGAGGCAGTATCACTACAGAAGTAGATTGCCCAACCTTCCTTCTGAGGAGTTTGAACCACCAGCAGTCAAGTGCCTTGGTACTATACTACCAGAGCTCCTAGTGGACCTTTGAGGAGTTTATATTATCTAGTGAGGGTGTGGTGCTCTGGTGGTGCAGTGGTTAAAGCATTCAGCTGTTAACCAAAAGGTCGGTGGTTTAAACCCACCAGCCACTTCATGGAAGAAAGATGGGGCAGTCTGCTTCCATAAAGATTTGAAGCCTTGGAAACCCTATGGGGGTAGTTCTACTCTGTCCTCTAGGGTCTCTGTGAGTCAGAATGGACTCCATGGCAGTGGGTTTGGTTTGGGCTTTGCTTCTGTAAAGACTGACAGCCTTGGAAACCCTGTGGGGCAATTCTGCTGTGTCCTCTAAGGGTGCTGTGAGTTGGAATTGGCTGTAGGTTTGGGTTCGGTTTAGTGAGGGTGTGAGTTTCTAGAGAAGACGTCTTCTGATGAGTGAGGACACCAGGCTGTGCAGAGGGAATGAATGTGTTTGAATAAACTCCCTAGACAATGGTGTTGCCAGGAGAGGATCGGGAGGTGAGAGGCTGGGACCATGGTGAGGGATTTGGCTTTTAATTTCTTATCCATAGGACTTGTTGGGAGATTTTCTCTGATTGTAGACAAGGTTGCTATTATTATTTTTTTTAAATCTTAGAAAGGCTTTTGTGTGGTGTTCTTGGCTGCTGGGTATTAAACTGTGAATTAGAAGAAAATTCTAAGTATATGTAGCAAGGTGGTTGCTAGGAAAAATATGTTATATTTACTTCCTCAGGAATTTCTGGCTAACATAACTCATATTTCTGATGTTCAAAGAGTAGTATTTCCAAAGCTAAAGTGAGGTTTTTAATTTAAATACGTATTTTAGGGTCATTTTATGGATCATGTAGTATGTTGATGGGAATTGCAGTTATTCATTTTAGTTGTAAATAAAATTACTCGTTGAATTTCATTGGTGATCATGATTGTTCAACTCTTCTTTACAGATGTTCCTTGTATCTTCAGTGGTAACCAAATTGGGATGTTAGATCCTCACCAAACACTTTTTGGCCCACATGAGTCAGGCCAGTGTTGGAATCTCAAAGATGACAGCAGAGAAATCAGTGAACTCTCTGACCAGTTTGCACCATTCATTGGCGTCTTTGGAAGCACCAAGGAGACGTTTACCAATGGCAATTTCCCAGGGACCTTCTTCCGTTTCCCACTTCGCCTGCAACCTTCTCAGCTTAGCAGTAATCTCTACAATAAGCAGAAGGTCCTTGAGCTGTTCGAGTCCTTCCGGGCAGACGCGGACACGGTGCTCCTCTTCCTGAAAAGCGTACAGGACGTCTCCCTACACGTTCGAGAGGCCGATGGAACAGAGAAGCTGGTGTTTCGAGTGACGGCGAGTGAGAGCCAGACCCTGAAGCACGAGCGGCCCGACTCCATAAAGATCCTAGGAGCTGCCATCAGTAACTATTGTAAAAAGGTTCCGAGCAACAGCATCACCTGTGTAACCTACCCTATCAACATAGTTTTAGAAGATGAGGGCGCAGAGAATGCACAGAAGACATCGTGGCTGGTGTGTAACAGTGTGGGTGGCCGAGGGATGTGCAGCAAGCTCGACTCCTTAGCCGATGAACTGAAATTCATCCCACTCATCGGAATAGCCATGGCTCTGTCCAGCAGAGACGATGAAGAAAAAGGAGCCACTTCCGAGTTCTCAGGAAAAGCCTTTTGTTTTCTTCCTTTACCACCTGGTGAGGAAAGCAAAACGGGTCTTCCAGTTCACATCAGTGGGTTCTTCGGCCTGACGGACAACCGCAGGAGCATAAAGTGGCGGGAGCTGGACCAGTGGAGAGACCCTGCAGCCTTGTGGAATGATGTCCTTGTGGTAAACGTGGTGCCAAAAGCTTATGCCACTCTGATCCTGGAGTCCATCAGACGCCTGGAGGCAGAAAAGAGCTCAGAGCTCCCCCTGTCGGTTGAGATTATCTACAAACTTTGGCCAAACACAGACAAGGTGAAGGTGCACTGGCGGCCCGTTTTAGAGCCTCTGTTTAACGAGCTGTTCCAGAACGCAGTTATTTATTCCATTAGCAATCAGTGGGTGAAGTTGGAGCAGGTGTACTTCTCAGAGTTGGATGAAAGTCTGGAACACACAACAACGGTGCTCAGCTACCTCCAGAGCTCAGGGAAGCAGGTGGCCAAGGTGCCGGCTAACCTTGCTGCTGCCGTCCAGGTGACTGCCTGCGGTGCCAAGCCTGTGAAGAGGGTGACGCCTGCGCTGGTGCGCCAGGTGCTGAGGAAGACCGCGCACTTGGGCAGCCCCGGAGAGAAGCTTCACCTCCTGGAATTCGTGCTTTCCGACGAAGTTTACAGCGAACTGCTTGGCTTGGAGCTTCTCCCTTTACAAAACGGGAATTTTGTGCCCTTCTCGTCATCTGTATCAGATCAAGATGTTATTTATATTACCTCAGAAGATTACCCAAGGTACCGTCCAGGTCTCTCAGGCTGGCTTCCTCCTAAGGGTGCCCTTCCCCCGCCCAGTGTAGTGTTGCTACTGGTAGCATTCAGCAGCGAGCCATGTAGGTTTCATAGTTGGGAAGAATTTGGCAGAAATAATTGGTTGCATTATGAAAGGATGCCTTTTTATATTCTAAAGTGAAAAGCACTCAGGAGTTTATAGGTTACAAAAACTTTTCCAAACAGTTGTCTTTCTTGGAAATTTCAATAACAGAACACTGAAAACAATGATTATAAAGTGCTAAGGAGCTCTGGTTATGTAATGGGTAACCAGAAGGTCAGTGGTTCAAACCCACTAGCTCTGTTCCGTGGTAGGGAGATAAAGCAATCTACTTCCTTAAAGATTTACAGCCTTGGAAACCCAATGTGGAGGGCACTATGAGTCAGAATCGACTCGATGGCAGTGGACATGGGCTTGGGCAATAAAAATTAGAGTAGTTAATAATTGCGTATTTTGATGAAATGTAATTTATACTAATTGAAATACATAATTCTTATGACTTTGAGGATGTGCATTGACATCCTAGAAAATACAGTGATTTTTTTCTCTGAGGTGTTTAGAATGATTCTGAGTTTGAATGCAGTGCATGATGTCCTCACGTTTAGAGGAAAGCTTAATGTTCAATCAAAAACTATGGTAATTTGATGTACACATTACAGTTTCTCTAAAGTAGCAGGTTTAGCTTGTTTGAAATTCTGTGTTTGAATTTCTCTGCCTTAAAATTGTTAGAAAATTATTATAATAATTGCGGTATTTTCTTTCATTTACTAGGTCCCTTTTCCCAGGTCTTAAAGGAAGATTTATTTTGGATAACTTGAAGCCTCACATTCTAGCTGCTTTAAAGGAAGCTGCCAAAACCAGAGGTATTACAAGCTTTCAATTAGTTTTTCCAGTAAATCAAATTATAAAGAGATAGACAGTTTTTATACGTTTTCTATTAAGTTGAACTAATACTATCCATTTTAGACCTGTGAAATCAACAATTCCACAGCCTAGTGTAATTATTATATTTAAAGATGTTTCAATAGCCGTTCTGACACCTGAAAAATCCAGAGGTAACATTGAAGTGTACTGTAAAATCCCTGGTACCTGGCGCAGAGGTGTGCATCTGGGGTGATGGACTCTGTATGGTCCTTCACCACTTTTCTCGTGCTTTCCATTTTCTCACTTGACCCTCAGCCTCTTACTTGTAGCCTTGTGGTGGTGAGGACAGCTCTTGTCAGTTCTGTTTTACAGACAGGAAGGAGGGGGTACGGTACGGTCAGGTCTTTAGCTGACAATGCCTGGAAGTCAGATCCTCTGCGTTGTCAGCAGCAGCTCTCTTTCCCATACCACTGTGACCGCCAGAGTTTTGTGTGACTGTCCCAGATCCACTTCATTCACAGGTGAGCTCTGGTGGCACTGGTTAAAGCATTGGGTTGCTGACCAAAAGGTCAGCAGTGAAAGATGAGGCAGTGTGCTTCCATAAAGATTGACAGCCTTGGAAACCCTATGAGGCGGTTGTAGTCTGTCCTCTAGGGGCGTTGTAAGTCAGAATTAACCCACGGCAGTGGGTTTGGTTTGGGCTTTGCTTCTGTAAAGACTGACAGCCTTGGAAACCCTGGTGCAGTTCCACTCTGTCCTCTAGGGGCGCTGTGAGTCAGAATTGACTCCACGGCAGTGGGTGTGGTTTGGGCTTTGCTTCCATGAAGATTGACAGCCTGGCAAACCCTCTGGGGCAGTTCCACTCTGTCCTCTAGGGGTGCTGTGAGTCAGAATTGATTTGATGGCAATGGGTTTACGTTTGGTAACAATATTAGGAGAGAGGATTCCTTGGCGTCTTAGTAGAGTGATGAGTATCCTTTGTTAAGGATTCTTTTCAGGAAAATGCAGAATGATTTAGGGGAAGAAAATCACTGAGGTTCTGAATTTAATACTTCTTTCAACTTCTGTGAGCATCTACTCCCTTGTAAAACTGGTGCCTGAGTTTTTTTTTTTTTACTGAGTTAGATATTGGTTTGTCCCACTGATTGGGTTGTAAAGCATAATCTTTGGGGTGGGTCTTTATAGAAAGGGTAGTCCCCGACTTACAACGTCTTCCGTTCCAACGACTCTGTCTCATTTCTTTTAGTTTTCATTTCAAAGCACGCAGTCTTTTGAACAGTAAATCATGCAATTGAACATCTGCGAGTGAACATCTGCAAATGATACCATCAGCCAATTACGTATTGCAGCATTGTTTGTAGTGTATATTACTAATGATGAAATGTTCCAAAAAAGGGAAAAAACAACAGACAGTTGTAGGTGTGGTTTGTCATAACTCAAATGTGTTATAATTCAGGGACTATCCACACGTACTTGTGTTCTGGTCAAAGGTTTTCAGGAAAGGTTGCTACTGTTCTTTCATATTCCTTAGTAATTTAAATACAAGCAAGTAAGGAAGTGGAATGATGAAGGCAAATTGAGGATGGAGTTTAAAACAATGAGCAGGCCAGTGTTGCTTAGCATCGGGATCTGTAATTGCGATGGTAACTGTGAGTCTGATATTTTCCATCTTTATGACTCATTTAATTGGGAATCAGCATCTTGAAGACCTGAAGGCTCCGTTTTGGGAATCTAAACACTTCCTGTAACTCTGCCATTCTATCGAACTTTCTTCTCCATTTATTCTAGTTTTAAACCTTTCCATTGAAGTATAATGTACATGCAGAAAAGTGCATTTACTGTACATTTAGGCTCAGTGAAATTTTGCAATTAACCCCACTTGTGTAACCAAGTTCAAGAAGTGGAAGGTTCACAGCACCCTAGACACCCCCTTGTATCCTCTGCAGTCACACCCACCTGCATATGTCCATTGTTCTTAATTTCAACAGCTAAGCCAGGTAGCCACATTTCGTACTTTATATCAAAGGAATCATACAATGTGCACTCGTATGTCTGGTTTCTTTTACTTATAAAGGAATACTGGTGAAGTAGTGGGTATGATGTTTGGCTGCTAATCAGAAAGAGGGTCAGTGATTCAAACCCACCAGCTGCTCCACGGGAGGAAGACAAAGCAACTTCCATAAAGATTTACAGCCTTGGAAACCCGATGGGGATCATTATGAGTTGGAACTGACTCAATGGCAGTGGGTTTTTTTTTTTTTTTTTTTAAATTACTACTTTTGTGAGACTTTGTTCATACCAAATCTAGCTATAGATGGTTCCTTTTCAATCCTGTAAGAATTTACTGTGTGATGTGTTACTTTCTTTTGGAGAGAATATTTTTGTTGCTGGCAGCTGGTTTCTCTTTTCGTTTTAAATTTCTATTGTGATCTGGGTGCATATTCACAAAGCAGATTTGTTTGCCTCTCAACAGTTCATGCACACTTGGTTTGACGACCCTGATTACGATCCCCAACCATAAAAAGCTCTCCTCCCATCTCTTCCCTGTAACTACCCTCTGTGCTGTTCTTATCTATGCATTCCTGTCTGTCTAGTTTTCCCTCTATGTGAATGCTGCCCCTCTGATGTCTCATGGCTGATTGACCCAAAGGGTGCATCTTCCTAGGGTGGTGGTGGTTGTTATGTGCCGTCGAGTTGGACCTGACTCATAGGTAGGTGGGTGCATCTCCCTGGAGTAGGAGTTTTGCCTCTAGGTCTTTCTACTGTTGGGCTGAGAGCCAATGCATGGCTGTAGTCCATTTCCAGGCCTGAAGGATAACCCAGGACCAAAGCCCTCGGGGGTTCCACCAGTCTCTATCCAACCAGTAATTCTGGTCATTTTTGTGTTTTTGAATTTTGTTCCACATTTTTCCTCCCACTTTAACCAGGATCTCCAATTTTGATCCCTATCTGAGTGGTTGGCATTGGTAGCCAGGCACCATCTAGTTCTTCTGGTCTCAGGGTTGTGAAGGCTAAAGTCCTCGTGGTCTATCATATCGTTGGACTAATTATTCCCAAATGACTTTAATTTTCTTCACTCTTCTTCGAGTGGCTGGTTTCTGAAAGTGGATATGAATTTGGAAATCAACCCAGAGTTATTCAGGACTGAATCAAGTAGAAAAGGAAGAAGGCCAAACAGTAATCACGTAGGAGTTCAGAAATGTACAAGTAGCCTGTGGCAGCACAGTGAGTAAACTGATCATTGGCCACCATGCACTCTGGTTTGCAGAGTCAAAGCATCACTTTTCTGGAACACCAAAAAAAATGAGTAATGATTTACTTATGTTTAGACTTCTAGGTTTATTTGCCAGAGGCGTTTTCTAGTTAGTTCATTTTTTTTCTTATTTATGTAGAATGTGCACATAGTTCCTGTTCTGATTCCCCAGTGCTGCTCTGACAAGAAATATACCACAAATGGGATGGCTTTAACAAACAGGAGTTTATTCTTGCAATTGCAATTTGGAGGCTTTAAGTCCAAGTTCAGAGTGCCAAGCTCTAGGGGCTGGGTGAAAGCACCTCAGCCTTGGGCGTTAGCTCTGCCTGCAGCTCCCAGCCCATTGGAGCTAGAGGCGTTTCTTCACTCAGACAGTTGCTGGCTGCTGAGGCTGAGAAGCCCCAAGGTTGACAAGGAAAAAGGCACGGTCTTTGATGTTATCAAACCACACGGCAGGGCGTTAATTCAAGTCTGTTTTAAGTCCCAAGGTCAGCAGAGCATGGCAGGCTGCTGAATAGTGACCAAGCGTGCCATAAGCTAGAGACTGTTCCTAAAGCTGCTGCTTATGTATGGGAAGCAGACCACATACCAAAAGCAGCTACTCAGCTGCTTGTGGTATATCCCACCATCGAGTTGATTGCCAGTCTCATCATGGGGAATAATTACCACCAGCTGCCCAGCCACTCATCCAGGCCCAGCCAAGTTGACACACAAACAACCAGCACAGTTCCCATGTTAAAACCATCAAACAGAACATTCAGAGAGGCCTGGTTTCCCTCCCTGTCACCCCACTGTGTCCTTGCTCCACCTGTTGGTGACCATTTTTACTAGTTCGTACTTTATCTTTCTATTGTTTCTTTTTGAGAAGATGGACAAAAATATTTATATATACTTATATTGCCCCCCTTTCTTTCACAAAAGATGGTCTAATGAATAAGCATTATTCATACCATGCTTGTTTTCACCCAGTGCATGTTCTGGAGCGTGCTCCTTTTGTTGTTGTTGTTGTTGTTATGTGCTTTCGAGTCAGACCCGACTCATAGCGACTCCTCCTTGGGTTGCCGAGGCAGTATCATTATGGAAGTAGATTGCCCAGCCTTCCTTCCGAGGAGTGACTGGTGGGTTTGAACCTCCAGCCTTCTGCTTAGCAGTCGAGTGCCTTAGGCACTATGCTACCAGAGCTCCTTAAAGTCCCCCTCACTGGACCATGGCTCGCTGCATTTATTTATTTATTTTTGCAGTGTTCCCTCCCCTCCCCTCCCACCCCTGGTAACCAACAAAGGAAGTTTCCTTCCATATATAAACCTTTCCTTGACTTTTTACAATAATGAACTAATTCTATATTTGTCCTTCTGTAATTGACTTATTTCACTCAGCATGAGGTCTTCCAAGTTCATCCACGTTACGCGGTATTTTTTCAGATTCTACATTATTCTTTAGTGTTGCATAGTATTCCATTGTGTGTATGTACCATAGTTGGGTTATCCATTCTTGTCTTGATGGGCACCTACGTTGTTTCCGTCTTTTGGCTGTTGTTAGTGCTGCGATGAACATGGGTGTGCATATATCTGTTCTTGTCCTGGCTCTCACTTCATTAGGATATATACCTAGTAATGGAATGGCTGGGTCAAGTGGTATTTCTAATTCCAGCTTTTTAAGGAGTTGAACCATAGCTCATTTTGCTAATCTCCTATTGGTTGATATTTGCGTTGGTTCTAGACTGTTGTTACTATAGATGATGCTACA